TTTATTTATATACTTTACGAGTTTATAATATTCTTAATTGATTACATCTATATTACTAAAACTCCAAATAATTATTTTTTTACATTTTACTATAAATAAATTTTTATATTATTTTAGTTTAGTTTATTTGAAATATTTTATACTTCTAACTGATATTTTACTTATGGATTATGAGAATATCCTACCTATCCAGATCATGATAATTTATCCTATAATCGGATAACATTAATGCCTTATCTAAATTTTAATATATTATTTTATATGTATATTTAATATGTAATATTTAATCAAATTAATTTCATAATGCGTACTGTTTTAATTAACTAAAATAGCTTTTCTTTTTATTCAAATTATGATAATCTAGAATAGTTTGTTTATCGATAACCATAATATCAAAGGAATTTATTATTTATTAAAATATAAATATTTTATGTTTTATTGTGAATAAATCGATCTTTGCATGGGACGAAGGGTTGGCTCAATTATCTGATTGTTTAGATTGTTAGATATCAACAATGGGTATCTTCTCTCTCGTTACATCTACCAATCTTCTCGATAGCTCGGATGCAATAACACACATATAGTAATAGCTTAGTGATTCAATTTAAACCATTGATTATATAATTGGTTCAATTTTAGATGTAATCTTTGTAAGAAATAAGAAATATCGGATTTAATTTAGTTGAATTCATTCTCTCCTGCTTCGGCTTTAACTCTTGTTTAAAATTAAAACATGTGTCCCGAAAAGCTTGCCGATGCTAGCTCGGATGCTAACTGAATCAACAGATTTGATATTTCCGTCGGCAGCTAAAAGTGAAATGTTGTAAAGTATTGTACGAAAAACTTTCATTAATCCGCGCGTGATTATATATGAATGTAATTATTCATGAGTGTTTATCGTAAATGTCTTGCATTACGAGGAGATCTGACAACCTAACATTCTGAGAAGAGAAGAAGTCTTAAAGGAGACATAAGGCTTCGTAATAAATATTATATTTATTATAAACTTAAAATAAAACAATATGAATATAGCACCAAATATAGTTTTCGTTAAATTTTTTAGTTAGTACTTAATGCGCAGGAATATGTTATTGATAATTAAAAAAGAAGGCTAAAATAACTGTTCTTTTCAATTACATATTCTTTGATAATACCATCTATTAAGCATGATATAATAATAGAAAGCAAATCGTAAGATCTTATACAATAATTAAATGATTAATTTATGATTAAAGTTAAAAAATAAATTATTTTAATGACTCTGTTAATTTTATATTTATGCAATAAAAATATATTTAATTCAATAGCAATATATATCAAAATTAAAAACAAGCAAACAGTATACTATTTGACGAAAAGATGGCATCAGTATTCTTTCATAAAGGCTTTATTTGATATTTAGTTAGTAAAACATATTATATCTATAT